GGCACAGTGACAGGCACTGTGTCCCCCGTGTGGCACAGTGACAGGCACTGTGTCCCCCGTGTGGCACAGTGACAGGCACTGTCACTGTGTCTAATATGAGTCTATATAGGACCCTAACAAGGGTGTTGATCACAGTACGGGGAGTCGACCCTGGGGCCATGGTGGGTGTTGGTACCCCCCGGGGAGCCTGGGGCCATGGTGGGTGTTGGTACCCCCCGGGGAGCCTGGGGCAATGGTGGGTGTTGGTACCCCCCGGGGAGCCTGGGGCCATGGTGGGTGTTGGTACCCCCGGGGAGCCTGGGGCCATGGTGGGTGTTGGTACCCCCCGGGGAGCCTGGGACCATGGTGGGTGTTGGTACCCCCGGGGAGCCTGGGGCCATGGTGGGTGTTGGTACCCCGGGGAGCCTGGGGCCATGGTGGGTGTTGGTACCCCCGGGGAGCCTGGGGCCATGGTGGGTGTTGGTACCCCCCGGGGAGCCTGGGGCTATAGTGGGTGTTGGTACCCTCCGGGGAGCCTGGGGCCACGGTGGGTGTTGGTACCCTCCGGGGAGCCTGGGACCATGGTGGGTGTTGGTACCCTCCGGGGAGCCTGGGACCATGGTGGGTGTTGGTACCCTCCGGGGAGCCTGGGGCCATGGTGGGTGTTGGTACCCCGGGGAGCCTGGGGCCATGGTGGGTGTTGGTACCCCCCGGGGAGCCTGGGGCCATGGTGGGTGTTGGTACCCCCGGGGAGCCTGGGGCCATGGTGGGTGTTGGTACCCCCGGGGAGCCTGGGACCATGGTGGGTGTTGGTACCCCCGGGGAGCCTGGGGCCATGGTAGGTGTTGGTACCCCCGGGGAGCCTGGGGCCATGGTGGGTGTTGGTACCCTCCAGGGAGCCTGGGACCATGGTGGGTGTTGGTACCCCCGGGGAGCCTGGGACCATGGTGGGTGTTGGTACCCCCCGGGGTGCCTGGGGCCATGGTGGGTGTTGGTACCCCCGGGGAGCCTGGGGCCATGGTGGGTGTTGGTACCCTCCAGGGAGCCTGGGACCATGGTGGGTGTTGGTACCCCCGGGGAGCCTGGGGCCATGGTGGGTGTTGGTACCCTCCGGGGAGCCTGGGGCCATGGTGGGTGTTGGTACCCCCGGGGAGCCTGGGGCCATGGTGGGTGTTGGTACCCCCGGGGAGCCTGGGGCCATGGTGGGTGTTGGTACCCTCCAGGGAGCCTGGGACCATGGTGGGTGTTGGTACCCCGGGGAGCCTGGGGCCATGGTGGGTGTTGGTACCCCGGGGAGCCTGGGGCCATGGTGGGTGTTGGTACCCTCCGGGGAGCCTGGGGCCATGGTGGGTGTTGGTACCCCCGGGGAGCCTGGGGCCATGGTGGGTGTTGGTACCCCCGGGGAGCCTGGGACCATGTTGGGTGTTGGTACCCTCCGGGGAGCCTGTTGCCATGGTGGGTGTTGGTACCCCCGGGGAGCCTGGGGCCATGGTGGGTGTTGGTACCCCCGGGGAGCCTGGGACCATGGTGGGTGTTGGTACCCCCGGGGAGCCTGGGGCCATGGTGGGTGTTGGTACCTCCGGGGAGCCTGGGGCCATGGTGGGTGTTAGTACCCCCGGGGAGCCTGGGACCATGGTGGGTGTTGGTACCATCCGGGGAGCCTGGGGCCATGGTGGGTGTTGGTACCTCCGGGGAGCCTGGGACCATGGTGGGTGTTGGTACCTCCGGGGAGCCTGGGACCATGGTGGGTGTTGGTACCCTCCGGGGAGCCTGGGACCATGGTGGGGGTTGGTACCCCCCGGGGAGCCTGGGGCCATGGTGGGTGTTGGTATCCCCGGGGAGCCTGGGGCCATGGTGGGTGTTGGTACCCCCGGGGAGCCTGGGGCCATGGTGGGTGTTGGTACCCCCGGGGAGCCTGGGATGGTGGGTGTTGGTACCATGGGGAGCCTGGGGCCATGGTGGGTGTTGGTACCCCCGGGGAGCCTGGGGCCATGGTGGGTGTTGGTACCCTCCGGGAGCCTGGGACCATGGTGGGTGTTTGGTACCCCGGGGAGCCTGGGGCCATGGTGGGTGTTGGTACCTCCGGGGAGCCTGGGGCCGTGGTGGGTGTTGGTACCTCCGGGGAGCCTGGGACCATGGTGGGTGTTGGTACCCTCCGGGGAGCCTGGGACCATGGTGGGGGTTGGTACCCTCCGGGGAGCCTGGGGCCATGGTGGGTGTTGGTACCCCCCGGGGAGCCTGGGGCCATGGTGGGTGTTGGTACCCCCGGGGAGCCTGGGGCCATGGTGGGTGTTGGTACCCCCGGGGAGCCTGGGACCATGGTGGGTGTTGGTACCATCCGGGGAGCCTGGGGCCATGGTGGGTGTTGGTACCCCCGGGGAGCCTGGGGCCATGGTGGGTGTTGGTACCCCCGGGGAGCCTGGGACCATGGTGGGTGTTGGTACCCCCGGGGAGCCTGGGGCCATGGTGGGTGTTGGTACCTCCGGGGAGCCTGGGGCCGTGGTGGGTGTTGGTACCCCCGGGGAGCCTGGGACCATGGTGGGTGTTGGTACCCTCCAGGGAGCCTGGGACCATGGTGGGTGTTGGTACCCTCCGGGGAGCCTGGGGCCATGGTGGGTGTTGGTACCTCCGT